TCTGGCCCTGCTGTTTGCCGTCACCAGCACCGCCAGGTCATCCACGTATGCAATGGCTCGGTACCCCTTCTCCTCCAACTCGCCAAGCAACTGATCAAAAACTAGTTTCCACAGTGCTGGCCCGAGTACCGAGCCCTGCGGGCACCCTCTCTCGATCCCCCTCTCCACCTCGAAGGAGTTACCCCGGATCTTCACTCTCCTATCCTTGAGGTAACTGCCCACGAGGGAGTATAGATTGCTGGGGGCATCGTACTCTTGCAGCCTCTGCATCACAACGGGCCACCAGACGCTATCGAAGGCAGAAGATATGTCGAAGAGTATCAACAACGCATACTTCTCCTCCGCGTCTTCGACGTCCCGCTTCATCTGCATCAGCGCATCCGCCGTGCCCTTCCCTTTCGTGGAACCGAACTGCCGAGGATGACCCGCCACGCGCAGCACCGGTTTCATCCTCTCCATTATCAAGTGCTCCAGGACTTTGCTGATCACCGGGAGGAGGCATATGGGCCTGTAGGCCTTAGGTTGTTCTTTATCTTTACCTCCCCCTTTGTACAGCAATCTGAGGTCCGCTTCCTTCCATTGATACGGAAAGTGCCCTCTGTCCAGGCACAGGTTGCATATGGCCAGGAGTTCGTCCTCTATTTGAGGCGCACTCAAGATCGGGCTGGTAGTGCGTTCCTCAAGATCGCTGCATCGATCTCATCGAGTCTCGGAGCCCTTCCTACCATCTGCTTCTCTATCGCCAGACGGAGGTCCCAGCTGTCCCACGGCTCGCACAGGTCCGTTCCGGGAGGATACTCCGTAGTCCTTCTGATCATCCGGTCCTCCTCCGTGTCCAGGGTCGGATCGTCCTGATACGTCGTACGTATGATCAACGTACATGGCCACCGCCTCTTCCAAGGTTTCAGCCTGTCTACCGCCCACTCTCATGGCAGCCATGAGTTGGGCTGGCTTCACCTTGTCGAGTGCGACCCTGTACGGTATCCCCCAAGGATTTTTCTCCGTTTCCCTTTCAACGAATTCGTCCCAGGATGACTTCTTTCGCTGGCGCATCTCCTTGCGGTATTCTTTGAGCGTGCGCCTGCTTTCCAGTCGGAGCACCTCTCTTCTCTCCTCGTTCCTGCAGCCTTGGCACCTCCGCCTAGCCCGGTGATATTCCCGTTTCAGCGCCGTCAAGGTCGGCGTCCACCACGGCACTGGTCTCTCCCTCACCTTCCTCCTCCGAAGGGAGGCCTCTGCCGCGTCTCTCATCGCGCCTGTCAGCACGTTTATCCTGTTCTCGATACCGCGCGCTTCGTCATCTTCTGGCGGTTCCTCCCACTCCCTGTCCACCAGGATGTCTTCCAGCGCTCCACGGTACCGAGCCCAGTCCGCCGACCTTGTGACGTATCCACGCTCCCCTTCCGCTCGTCTCTCCTCTTTTCTTCTCACAACATCGAGCATGATGGTCCCATGGTCCGAGCTCGTATCAGACCTGAGGCCCCAGTTTGCCACTCGTCTCATCATTGGAGCTGAGGCCAGCGTTATGTCAATCCAGCTTTGTCCCCTGGGTCCCACAAACGTGGGCTCGCCAGGTTCATTCACTACTATCAGCTGGCATCTGGCTATGCTGTCCTCGAGCTTCATTCCTCTTCTATCGGTGACTTCTGAGCCCCAGGCCGTGCTCCACGAATTCGTGTCGGCGCATATCAGCACGTTACCGTACTGCTGCGCCACGGCCTCCATGTGCTCGATGTTTCCCTCAATGTCATCTTTCGGCGGCATATACGCGGACAGAAGGGCAAAAGCTGCGTCTCCCCATCTAATCCAGCATGCCGCTTGGTCCGCCGTCGTATGCTGCTTCATCTCCATGACATCCAGTGAGGGGTTGAGGATTACTATCGCTGCCCTAGGCCTCCTCTCTCCACTGCTTTGGGCAACGACCCTTGCCGCCATCCCGAACCCGGTCACCTGGTTGTTTTTACAACAAGGCTCCTGTACTGCAAGCAGATCAAATCTCGCGGTTTGGCATTCATCGATCTGGCCATTATGTCGATGTCATCGGCATATGCAAGTAGCTGTACGGTCTTATTCAATAGCATACCAGTAGTCTGGATTCCAGAATCCCTCACAGCTTTTTCGAGTACCAGGTTAAATAGGAGGCATGCAAGAGCATCTTCTTGTCGCAGTCCTTTAGTGGTCATGAGCCTCTGTGATAAGTCTCCCTGTACTCGGACGACACACTCTACGCCCATCATGGTCATCCTGACGAGGCGGACCAGTATTGGAGGTATGTTCATTTCAATCATAGCCCTGTATAACTGCTCTCTATCGATGCTATCGTAAGCAGCTTTAAAATCTATAAAGAGATGGTGGGTTTTAACATTATACTCCATAGTTTTCTCCAGCAGCATTCTAAGGGTGAATATCTGGTCAGTGGTCTATTTTCCTCTTCTGAATCCACACTGGTATTTGCCGATCTCTCGCTCTGCAAACAGCAGAAGCCTCTGGAAGAGCACGTTTGATAGAATTTTGTAAGCACTGGAGAGCAGAGAAATGCCTCTATAATTTTCACAATTAAGCTTATCACCTTTCTTGTATATAGGGCATATCACAGACTTGTTCCAATCCCTAGGTAATTTTTTTTTATAGTTGAGTTTTTGTTCTTAGAGAACTCATTTCCAAGCTGCAGGGCCATTTATTGTAATCTTTCTCAGATGTTGACAATGTTGGTAAAAATTAGCTTTTATTGACCATGATTATCGATCATATCACTTAAGTTTATATCATATCAAATTATTAAGTTTAGGTACTCGTTTGACTCACAATTTGACGTTCTTTAATTTCTCAAAGAATATTTTTTTCACTTTGATGTGTGGTTTAGTGGTAATACATGAAAAAAAAGAGCACTGGATTTTTTACATAAATCTGGATTTTTCGCCTGTAAAAAGATTTATCTTGGTAACCCGTGTCAGCAATTCAGTTTTTTACATGTCTAAACCCATTTACAGGGTGTCTCGTAAGTAGAGGGAAATATTTAAAGGAGTGATAGCTGAACTCAATAAATACAAAAAAGTTTATATAAACAATGGTTTGATATTCAGCAGAAAAGGAGGGAATTAAAGTTTTGTGATTTTTCATGTAAACCATGTTTTTTGTTGAGTATGAAGTGATAACAAAAAAAACTATTTAATTTAAGTAATTAACGATTGCTTCACTGTAAACTAGACAAAATTAACTTGGATGGCGATCGGGCGTACACTGGGAGTGCCAGGCGTGGACATAAAAGTACTGCCACTCACAATAACTTGGAGAGGAATATGGTGCTGATGATCTTTCCAAGACATGGATATGTTGGGCATTCCCAAGAGAACGATGAACGCCATTACAATAAGAGTCCTTAAAGGTTCCCACATAAATTACAGTAATTGGTTCAGGCTGCTGCCTCGTTTATAGCGTGATACTCAATGATTATATCGATGTCATAATTTACATTTTGTTTTATTTATCTTAATTTTTTTATTTTATTTATCTATTTCATTTTTATTTGTTTAATTTAATGTTTATTTATTTGTTTTTTTTATTTAGTTATGTATTATAGTATTACTTTCTTACGACTTATATTGCGGAGGGATTGCTACCTCCGTAGTTTTTAAAATTACTTTATATATAGTGTGTATTTTATGTATGTATATTTTTCTTTTATACTTTTATCGACACAGCTGCTTTTTGTAAGTAAATGCAATGCTCAGTATATTACAACTTAATGTTAGTATGTTTTCTTTTTTTTATATGATTCTTGGATTCCAATATCCAAGATAAAACGTTACGATGGTGAAGGTAGCACCAAATTGAATTGGAAATTGAGAAAGTTCCTGGAGTTTTGTTATTTTGAAAAATATATTAACTATGTATGAACTACCAAATAAATAAATAAATAAAAATAGAGTTTGCTTTTGTTAAAACCATTTAAAGAGGACTTTTGAGCGACTAAAATCCGCTAAAGAGTGGAGGGAGATTGGTAGTGGTGGGGGAACGGATAGGGGTGGGGGAAGCACCTGATATAGAGATGCGCCTCCCCCTGAGAAAATTCCTGGATCAGTTACTGGGACAAGCACAGTAGTGGAAGTCTTTAAAAAAAAATAAAAAAACTTTGCTTTGGCTGGTACGGTACCCTGAGGTAGCGATATTTTCTAACATATAAGTTTCTATCTTACAAAAAATTCATCTTAGATTCTGAGAAGGATTACAAATGTTCAGTTATATTTAAGAAATTTGGATTATTATGGGAAATAACATGGTTTTCTAGTAAATCCCTTTAAAATATAATAGTTCAACAATGGATTAAAATATGAAAGTGTGTTTGTTAGTGTTGAACTAAATTTTCTGTAAACTATCTCCTCCTCAATAACTCACATTCCTCTTGGGGTACCCTGTATGTGAATGTAAGCTTACTAGATTGGTTTCTTCTATGGTTTACTATATTTTATCAATATAGACTTCCACTTGATTATGACAACAAAGGCTCTGTGTACCAATGTATTTTTTTTACTTTTTTGTAAGTATTTTAAATTTTTACTTCTTATATCATTGGTATATTGTAAAACGTAATTAAGTAACATTTTAGAAAAATAAATCAACAAGTACATTAATTATAATTTTTCCTCAGTGAAATCAACATGTTACACATTTATTGAATCTCTTTTTGACACATAACAGGATTTGTGTCATTTTGGTGTACTAAATGAATTTTAGAATCAGTAAATATGATCAAAATTCACAAATATGTACTTAAAAGTTCAGCTCCATCAAAAATATACTTAGTGACTTTTTTTTGCAATAAACTGATGATATGTTTTTTTCAATTTTTATATGTATGGTATTTGACTCTGAATAAGGAGAATCTTTAATAGTTTAAATCATCTGAGTCATATGTGCTAAGGGTGTGGAACTCAACTGTATTATGTGATATGTTTAAACACCAGCAGTCAATTTGTTAATGAGGTATATTTTCAACTTACAGTTTGGAGGTGATGCACTCCATCTGCCATTTTCCTGACAAGCTACCACAGGCTGACCTTCCATCATGAAGTCAGTAGCACAAGTAAAAGTTGCAAGATCTCCTGCTTTGTAGACACCATTGGAGCCACCTTGGACCCAACCATTTTCTGGTCGCCCAGGGTCACCACATTCTACTTCTGCATGCAATAAGCATTATTTTCATTTCTGCTATTATTTATTTATATTATCCATATTATTCATTTCTTACCCTTGCAAGTGGGAAATGGTTGAGCCCATTCTCCAGAAGCTTGACAGGTAGAATGTGATGGTCCAACAAGGGCATGACCGGGACCACAGGAAAACACTACTCTTCCTCCAACTTCCCGAGACAATACAGAGCTTCGTAAGTTAGCATCCTGCAAGTTCGTGAGATCAGGGCACTCCATGCCTATACAAACAAAAGCAACATCAGCTGATTAAGAAAACAAACAAAAATAAATTAATGGTAATTAAAAAAAAAAACTTTTTAAGCAGTTTATTTATTATAGTATAAATTTTATTTATTTAAAGGCTCAACAGGCGCCTGAAGCTGCTCTTGGCCCTCTCAACTGCCCTTACCCAATCATTTCGGTCAGCAGCATGTCTGCTGGATACTCCCACCATCATCAAGTCCTCAGCCACTGAGTCCTTCCACCTTCCCTTCGGTCTTCCACGTGGTCTGACTCCATCCGGGGTTCCATAATACAATTTCCTCTCAGCTCTACCTTCATCCATTCTGATAATATGTCCCAGCCATTTTAAGCGTTGAATTCGCACGAAATGAGAAACTCGGAGATCGTCGAATAAGTCGTAGATCTCTTTGTTCTTCCTTAAACGCCATGTACCATTCTCTCTAACTGGCCCCATATAGTATAAATGGAAAAGTATAAATAAATGTGAAATGAAAATTTAAAACAAATGTCTGAAGGGAGATTTCCATGAAATAATTCCTAAGTCTCTTCAGTCTCACTTCCAACCTAGCAGAGAGCCCTCCTCTATATACTAAGTATCCTTAATCAAAGTGGGGGAAACCAAGAGAGGCTGCCTGGTCTTTTGAGGAATATAATCATAGAACTTAAGGGTTGTAAAAAAAAAATGGACAGTTATAGATTTTTGTATAATTTAGAAAATATGGTCAGTCCAGAATCTTTTCTGGGGATCTTTCTTTCCTAAACTTTCAGGATCATATTACTCTCCTTAGTTATTACCCTGAACTCATTTCCATATATCATCACTCTTATTATAGTCTTGTATATGATGGTTTTTCTGATCAGATTTTTTCTCTGAAAATGATGTTGAAGAAAGCCCGTGAATATAATATTTAAACCCACCACCTCTTCATCGATTTCCGAGCTGCATATGACAGAGAACTGAGAGAGGAACAGTTCAGGGTGATGTTAGAAATGGGTGTCTCTAGAGGACTGGTATGGTTGATTCGTCGAACAATGGAGTCCGTCCAGTGCTTTGTGCGAGTGGAGGGCGAGCTATCGGATGCTTTCACCACCTGCAAGGGTTTAAGGTAGGGAGATGGGCTGGCCTGCCTACTGTTTAATTTTGCCCTAGAATGAGCCATTAAGCAATCAGAAATTCAGGTTGGTGGAACGATTTTCAATCTCACAGTGCAGCTCCTTGGATACGCACGAGCGAAGCCTTCATAAGCCTTGAGACAGCAGCTGCACGGTTTGGACTGCAAATTAATCTGTCTAAGACTAAATACATGAGCACTAATGCTATAAGAAGAGTACCCGAACGCATCCAAGATACACATTCGATATTGTGAATGAATTTATATACCTGGGATCTCTAGTTACTAGCGACAATGCAGTGGGGGCAGAAGTGCAACGCAGAATACAGGCAGCCAACAGATGTTACTTTGGACTAGTCCTGCAGCTTAAAAGCAGGGTAATCTCCCAAACAACAACTCGACAACTACGACTCTACAAAACCCTAATTAGGCCTGTCCTCATCTATGGTGCAGAGGCGTGGACACTGACCAGGGTTTTGGAGGAAGATTTGCACCGCCTTCAAAAGGAAGGTGCTCAGGAGGATTTTAGGACCAATCTATGATCCAGAGGGGCCCACCTAGAGAAGGCGAACAAACCATGAAATAATGACCATGTACAAGGATAGGGACATCATCCGTTTAATAAAGGTGGGGCCGCTCAGGTGGGATGGTCATGTGGCTAGGATGAGTCCAGAGGAGCCAACTCGAAAGATCCTGAATGAGAAGATTGAAGCCAAAAGAAGAGTTGGACGCCCAAGTCTGCAATGGCAGGATGGTATGACATCGGATGCCCGCTCCATCCTGAGAACAAGAAACTGGAGAGCAACGGCACAAAGAAGACAGGACTGGCGGAAATCATTACAAGAGGCTCTGACTCCTTGTGGGTTGTAGCACCATTAAATAATAATAATATGATGGTTTTTGCATTTCAAGAAAATTCTTAGAATTGGATCTTAATTATTAAGGGTACAGTAATATGAAGTGTATCAGCCCATTAAGTCATGTCAAATATAGAATTTTCAAATACTGGAATTGGATCTTGATTATTAAGGGTACAGTAATATGAAGGGGTCAGCCTATTAAGTCATGTCAAATATAGAATTTCCAAATCGATACAGTTCCTAATTTTTAAGCTTTCCATTCTACTTTTGATTCAGGACTTCTTTTTTCTTTTTTTTATTAGTTTTTTCTTTTATATTTCTATCAAAGAGCTCCTTACCTCCATCCTAATGATTTTAATGTTAATGAAATCCTTGTTAAGTTAATCGAAACATCCTTATCCTCCAAACTATTGGTTCTATTATATATTCATACTGATTTCCATCAAAACACATTTCAGTTTTCCTCGTCATCCTGGAAGAAAGCCCTCATGCACCATCTTAATAAAACCCCTAACCACTTCACTAATAGGGAGCGCTCATATCAAGGATGTAAGCGAAACTATTGAACCATGTCAAATCTATTTAGCTGACTGAATTTTAGTATCAACTAATATTTATCCTTAAGAAAATATTAGAAAAGAAGTTAAAATAAATAGGTATATCTTGGATGATAAATATTGAGGATTTTCTCTCATAATATGTTTAATATGGTTGCAAATGTTTTAACGCTTGTGAGTTATAATTAGACCGATGGCTCTGGATTATTTAGCATTCAAAACAACCTTCTGAACAATTAACAATAATTCATCCCTAAATTATTAACCTATTAGAACCTATACACCATAAATACAAGCTCTGGCCAACCATTGCCCCGATCCTTGTAGATGTGACCCACTAACTGGAGTTGAAATGTCGCCATGCATAATAAACATATGTAGACCAAAAATCATAATTATTTATCATACAAGATAACTTTCAGAACAGTAAAAAAAAAAATCATCTCTAAATAACAAGGTGTAGTTTACCAGTTGTAAATTAATTTTAAAAAGGCTCAAGTTTCACCTGAAGTGTAATGATGTTTTGCTAGAACAGGGAACCCAAAAGAAACTAGTTAACCTAACTAGTTGTAACTTACTGACTAGTAAGGATGTACATGTCTGCAGTATTTTACAGAGGTAATGGATGGTTGACTGTATGAATGGTGAAACTTAATTTTACACTGTGTTTTTCAACATAACTTTGACTGATTACTGTATAAAGGATTTAATGGAGTCTGTTTCAGTAAATTTTATTCAGAGAAGGTTGAAGTCTGTTCAGATTTAAAATATAATAAATCTATCTATTTTCATTATACTAGATTCATTTTTATGAATATACCTAATTTGATTTAATTTAGTGATGGAATATATTATTAGGTAGTTAATTTACACAAGAAAAAGTTTAACTGGATGGTAAAATACTAGATAGAGTATTTTTAAATGAAGATTCAGAAGCTATTAAATTAATTCCAATGACAGAAGTAAGTACCAGTAAAGAAATAGGTTTCAAAATAAATGCAAATAAAGCAATACATAGTTTATAGTAGAAACATGTATCCAAAAAGAAACGAAATTCAGGAGGAAATCAATAAATAAAAATGGGAAATGCCTGTTGTTTTTTTTTTAAATCATAAAATGAATCAATATTTCATGTATATTTTTCAAAAACATTACAGATGTAAAACTTATCAATTTCCGTAGAATTAAAAAGAAGATCTTAAGGTTTTTGAAAACAAAGTTACTTGTAAAATTGAATAGACTGGAGAACTTAAATGACTGAACTAGTCAAATATACATCACTATACTTAGAATTGAAGTGATAACATCAAAAGAAATAAAATGGATGTATTTAGTTGTAGAGATATATAAATAATAAATCCTTAAAAAGACAATAACTACTGACTTGACAGTTTAGTATTAGTCCGTAGCTGAAGACTAAGACATAGATGGGAATATTATGAAAAGGCTGATGTTTTTAATTTAGGTTTTGAAAGAGATCAGTGGAGGGAGATACATAGCTAGTGATTGGTGATGTCAGTTTCAAAATTCCGTGTTTGCTAAGCCTCATTTGAATTATTAAAAAAAAAAAATTATTATGCATGACAAAAATTATTTCTATACTTCAATTATTGTGGGTTTTTCATCTTCCAAATGAAAAACATTTACATATTGTATCTATAGCATTTCCAAGTCAATTTCAACCTTTTCCAAGTCAAATTCAACCTTTTCCAAATCAAATTAAACTTTTTCCAAGTCAAATTCAACCTTTTCCATTTCAAATTAAACCTTTTCCATTTCAAATTCAACCTTTTTTTATTTATTTAATTATCTTTAATTTTTCAATGTGTGGGTCTGTTATCGTATGAGTAGTTTTTGAAAATAACCTCCTTTTTAAGATTACGTGACTGAGTTTCGAATTATTTAGGTTTTTTTGAATTATTCGATATAAGGGTGTATTTTTATGTTTCCCGATCAGTAAATTTTGAAAATGACATCCATTTTATGTTTACGCCACTGTGTTTTGATTTATTTAAGTTTTTAGAATTTATCCAATATAAAGGTCTACTTTTATGTTTCTGGAGCCGTAGATTTTGAAAACGACCTCCATTTTAAGATTAGGCCACCGCGTTTCGACTTATTTGAGTTTTTCGGATATTTTTCATATGAGGGTGTATTTTTATGTTTCCGGGGCTGTAGATTTTGAAAATGACCTCCATTTTAAGATTAGGCCACCGCGTTTCGACTTATTTGAGTTTTTCGGATATTTTTCATATGAGGGTGTATTTTTATGTTTCCGGAGCTGTAGATTTTGAAAATGACCTCCATTTTAAGATTAGGCCACCGCGTTTCGACTTATTTGAGTTTTTCGGATATTTTTCATATGAGGGTGTATTTTTATGTTTCCGGAGCTGTAGATTTTGAAAATGACCTCCATTTTAAGATTACGCCACTGCGTTTCGACTTATTTAAGTTTTTTTTATTTATTCGATGTAAGGGTGTATTTTTATGTTTCCGGAGCTGTAGATTTTGAAAATGACCTCCATTTTAAGATTACGCCACTGCGTTTCGACTTATTTAAGTTTTTTGATTTATTCGATGTAAGGGTGTATTTTTATGTTTCCGGAGCTGTAGATTTTGAAAATGACCTCCATTTTATGATTACGCCGCTGCGTTTTGACTTATTTAAGTTTTTCGAATTTATCCAATTTAAAGGTCTACTTTTATGTTTTCGGAACCGTAGATTCTGAAAATGACCTCTATTTTATGATTACGCCACTGCGTTTCAACTTATTTAAGTTTTTAGAATTTAACAAGTATAAAGGTCTAATTTTATGTTTCTGGAGCAGTAGATTTCCCCCATTTTGTAAATGACCCAATTTCAAGTTTATGCCACTGTGTTTTGGATTATAAAAGTTTTTTTTTTAACTTTTTCGGTATAAGGATCTACTTATATGTTATCCGAGACGTATTGAAATTTTTCTAATCTTTAATATTTAAATTTATCTAATATTTAAGCTCCATTTTATGATTAAGCCGCTGCATCTCGAATAATTAGGCTTCATTTTGGATTTTTTCAATACAAAGTTTCATCAATATGTTTTCGAGTATGAATAAATAAATAAATATTATGAAGCTAAAGTTAAATTAACCACAGAATACAAACTAAAAAGCCGAAAAGCAGCTGGTAATAAATTTAACCTTCCGTATTCAGATTTTTCAGCTAATTGTTCGAAATCTTATAATTTTGTGACAGGAGACCACAACATTAAAAAAGATAACTAAAATTAAATTAAAAATGAGACAATACATATTTTATTTATTTTGATTAGATATTTTTATTTATTTATTGAAAAATAAATTAATCCTTCGTATTTTGTTTTTTATTCGAAGGAAAAATCAAAAACACTTAAAAAAACCGAAACACAGTGGCCTAATCTTAAAATGTAAGTCGTTTTAAAAACTAAGGCTCCGGCATCATAAAAGTAGACCTTTAAATTGGATAAATTCGAAAAACTTGAATAAGCCGAAACGCAGTGGCGTAATCTTAAAATGGAGGTCATTTTCAAAATCTACGACTCCGGAAACATAAGAATACACTCTTTTATGATAAAAATTCGAAACACTTAAAGAAATCGAAATGCGGTGGCCTAATCTTAAAATGGAGGTCGTTTTCAAAATCTACGGCTCCGGAAACATAAGAATACATCCTCATATGAAAAAAATCCGAAAAACTCAAAGAAATCGAAACGCGGTGGCCTAATCTTAAAATGGAGGTCGTTTTCAAAATCTACGGCTCCGGAAACATAAAAGTAGACCTTTATATTGGATAAATTCTAAAAACTTAAATAAGTCAAAACACAGTGGCGTAAACATAAAATGGATGTCATTTTCAAAATTTACTGATCGGGAAACATAAAAATACACCCTTATATCGAATAAGTCAAAAAAACTTAAATGATTCGAAACGCAGTCACTTAATCTTAAAATGGGGGTTATTTTCAAAACTATGTACAGGACAGCATAATACTAGTCCCTAATAAATCCGAATAGGTACAATAAATCGATATCCGTAAGTGAAAATTCTACTTAGGAGAGCATAATAATAGACTTTCATATTGGAGGGGGGAGGGGATGGCCATTATTTAAAAAAAATATATAAGATTTACAAAAAATTAAAACATTAATTTGAAATGAAAACGGTTGAATTTGAATTGGAAAAGGTTTAATTTGAAATGGAAATGGTTGAATTTGACTTGGAAAAAGTTTAATTTGATCTGGAAAAGGTTGAATTTGACTTGGAAAAGGTTGAATTTGACTTGGAAATGACATAGAAATATCACACTGAAAAAATTTAAAATGTTAAAATAAATTGATATGCAACCGTGTTATCAAATTTTTTTTTGTATTTTTCAAAAGCTATGCCTTCGATAATATAGTAAGTGGCCTTCATTTCGAAAAAAATCGAAAATTAACAAAAATTCGAAAGTTGAATTTGAAATGGAAAAGGTTGAATTTGACTTGGAAAAGGTTGAATTTGAAATGGAAAAGGTTTAATTTGACTTGGAAAAGGTTGAATTTGATTTGGAAAAGGTTGAAATTGACTTGGAAATGCTATATAAAAAGATATTTCATAAAATACATCACTCACTTTCACAAACAGGAAGTGGACTAGACCAATTACCACTTGGTAAGCAAACGAGTTGGTGAGCACCAATGAGAGAATTACCATTCTGGCAGTTGAGAAAAATTGTAGTTCCCATTTTAGTTTCCTCTGTACTCACCTTGAGGCCTCTTCTGTTGGGTAGAGGTGAGCAATGAACAGCTGTAAAAACATAATTCACAAAAAGATCAATAACCGATACCTATAGTCATAGATTAAATTATATTGAATGCAAAGTTATATTTCAATCGACACATCTAAAATTTTAATTTTACTGTCAATATCTGAGTTTTTCATACTTATAATTGCAACAAGTTTTAAAAATATTAAATATGTATTGCACATAAATATAACTACATATATTTATTTAATATATTCTTTGCATAAATATATTCTCTAGTAAATCCAAGTAAGAGGTATATACCATAAATGAGGAACCTTTTTATCATTAGAGGCCGCAGTAAGGTTAGGCAGTGATGATTGAGGCAGCAACAGTTTTTTTTTATATTTTACTGTTGCTATTTTTATGTATCACTAAATACACACATAAACAATTTATTCTATTAACTTTCAATTTTTTGTAACCTAAATAACTAAATATTAATTAATTCTTGGGCTAGATTAATAAATATCACTCAAAACTGTTTTGAGACAGCAGCTACCTCATTGAGGCCATAGGTTCCTCCCTATGGTATATGCCAAGAATATTGAATATAACTCTAGTTTATTGAACTGGGGTTTGTAGCAATTAGTTTCATTATTTTTCTAGCACTTCATCATTTCTAATTACAATATAAACATAAAACTTAGTTGTGGGGATATTTATCTCAGTTTCATTTTTAATTAAAATTTAAATGATATTTTTTCATTCCTACCTTTAACTACAAGTTCTACAGAATGACTATGTCTGGTTGGAGTGATACAAGTATAGGTGCCACTGTCTTCAGGTACTGCATCTGCAATGGTCAACCTATACTCTAACTGGGAGTCCCGCCCAGGATCACTAGACCAGCTTTCTTCATACTTTCTATTATAAATAAAAAAAAAATAGAGTAAGGGTATTGGAGATCAAGATAATTTGTAGAAGATTTTTGGGATTACTTAACAACATGGCTAGATTACAAAATTAAAAATATGGATGAATTTATTATGGGCTTCTACAGTCATGATAATGATTTGAAGAAAAGTTGACATTTTAAAACCTAATTGTTCAGCAAATCATTTCTGACCTCAAATTATATTAGTTTAGATCAGGGGTCTCCAAACTATGGCCAAGGACTGGATTCAGTCCACGAAAGTTTCTTTGATTACATGGTAATAATTTTAAATATGGAAATTAGTAAATAACATGAGTATATTACAACTTTTAGTGCATAAGTTGTTTCTCTTAAAAAGTTTGTTTCACAACTGAAGTGTCATTTACCGTACAAGTTTTTTTTTTTCCATTACAAGCTAGGGCGTGCGGGCTTGGTGGAGGCCTCAACGTAGCCTGCGGACCAAAAGGTTTGGAGATCCCTGGTTTAGATGATTGTGTTTTCCATGCTTATGTTACCTGTACTCATGGGAAACTGCCCATTTTGGTGTTCCAAATCTCCTGATCCAGAGACACTCCATGTGCAACGTAGTTCCAGGATAGATGATCATCTTCCCATCATTGGACTGTGCTATCGGTCCAGATTCATGTCTGAACAAAATAGTTGGTGGTTTCTCCACTGTTTAGTCAACAAAACAATATTTTCATTATGTATAAAAACCTTAAATAATTTCTACCACATTAAATTAAAAAGACAAAACGTTTCTATCTCAACACGTTTTTAGTAGTTTATTTTTTGTATCTAAGAATGCCATTTGTTATCAAAACAATATAATTGTATAAATTCCTCCACATATTTATTAATGCTAAGTTTAAATACCGACATATTATTTTACTATAATATTTTTCCGTCATATTATTATTATTGCTGTCTACTATTATCTCAGCATTTATTTGTTGTCTTGCCTTTGCTTAGCTCTGATGATCTTTGGCCGCGGGATGTGGTCTCCTTACAAACGTGTGATACTTGCGGGGGCTGAGATAGCCTGGAGGGGGTCACCCAACCTCACGTTGCTACCGAACCATGGTTTCCATGGTGCAGTGGCAGGCCACCCGTAGCTCCATAGTCGATCCCTTTGGGGCCAATCTGGCAATGCCCTTCCCACCGACTTTCTCGGGTTCAAGGACAGTGACAAATCGGTCTAGATCCATGGATTATGGCTGCTCGGAGTCAGCAGGCACACGAGGACCTATATTTCTTTCCCCAAAACCGACCGTCCATGGACCGAACCTCAGGGGGGCTATTAACATCCTGGTAAACCACATCCTGATTCCCGATTTAAGTACACAGGGTAGGGTCATCAGTCCTACGCCCAGTCGGTGTGAATTGCCTCCAGTAGGCTGACAGACCTCACATACCCGGGGGGGGGGGAGGCATGGCTTTCTCTAGTGGACGGTCTCCCAAATCGGGTGGTCACCCATCCAAGTACTAACCACGCTCGACGTTGCTTAACTTTGATTACCTATTGCAAGCGCCTTAGCCCGTATGGCTCCCCAGCCCCTTATATATATATATATATATATATATATATATATATATATATATATATATATATATATATATATATATATATATATGTATATATATATGAAGATATTATTGAAAAGAAGTTGGTTGAGTATTACAGTCATTGGAAGTACAAAGTAAAAATAAATTATATTTATATACTTTGTGCTGACATTTTAGCCTAAGTTTCAGGCCTTCATCAGGGCTAAGCAAAAGCAAGACAACAAATAAATGCTGAGATAATAGTAGACAGCAATAATAATAATAATATATATAATTAGGTTATACTGCATATGTTGCTACTGAATTATCTTCCTTTACAGATTATTTATTGATTTTATTTTTTGCATAGAAATTAGGCCATAATTAGAAAATTCTATAATAAAAGTATTGGATAACTTAAAGCACAGTCAACGACAAATCATTCTCATTTAACCAATTCTCAAAAATTATGGTTTTTGTGCATTTGAGATGCTATATTTCTGTTTGTTTATTCTCCATTAGGTATTTTTTTTACTAATAACATGGAATGTACTGACACCATTTTTTAAGACTTGGATTCAGTTGTTATTTACATTGATGATACCGTAACTGCTGAAGCATTGAACGATTAGGTATATATGATATGATGTAAGATACTTAAGGTTTCTATTTTTAAATCATTCAAAAACAACTAAAATGAAATTTAAAATTTTCAATTATAAAATCTCAGTTTCTGGATCAGTCAAAATATTAAATCATGGTATATAATTAGATAACTTGAATGTATTTTGCAGGGTTGGAGTTAGAAAGGTGCAAAGGAGACACCCTGGGGAGGCAGAATTTAGACGGTGTCATATTTTTAACAAAATCGTATTTTTAAGTTAAATGAAAGATATTCATTTCTGCTTTTTGACTGTTTTGATTTTGACTCAGTAAATAAAATAAGTTTATTTTACTAGGTGTTGATCATTTTTTAAAATATATTATCCTATAATACTATTAAGTTGACTTTTATTGGTGAGAGAGGGGAAGAGAGACAGAAAGGGTGGCATACATGCTTGTCCCTCTTTGAAAAAATCCTAGTTCCAGACCTGGGATTTTGTTCCCTAAAATCGAAAATAGTTGAAATGAAATTTATTTTTACTCTACTCTAATTTTAATTTGGATCTTTACTCTAGCACTATCCAACATGTCAGCAATAATTATTGCTTTTTCATAATGTAACTGAAATTACAATGGAAAAATTAAAATTAGATATATTTATTAACCGTTACTTGACTTTTTCAAGTAAATGGCAGAGAAAACTTTGATGGTTTATGAAATCTATTTACTTACAAGCATAATCATTTTCCTGGTTAAGGCCAAAGCAGGAAGGCCTCTGTCCATCCCATTCTCCATCAACACACTTGCGAGCTGAAGAACCAATCATAGCAAATTTACCAATATCAGTACAACGAAATGTCTGAAAATATCAGGCATTATCCATTACCATTCATGGTTAAATGCTATCATAAAAAAAAAAAAGAAAAGAAATATAATTCATACAAACCAAAACAGCTCCAAAAGGAAATTCAACAGAATCTTCAGTTACTGGTTGATCCATGTAAAATGTGGACACATTAAGTTCAGTGTTTTTGAATAGGCAAGTAGTATTATCCTTACTGGAAGAGGTGCCCCCTGATGAATTATCCTCCACTTCTATAGATTAAAGTATTAATCAATTGGTGTTTGTACCAGAATGAGCAAATATTGTTTGATTTTTAGAATAATATAATATAAATATTATTTATATAGAAGTTTTAAAGATTGTCCAATGTGATTTATAAGTATGCTGCTTAAATAGTAGCCCAATATGATTAGGTATTACTATTTCATGAAAATAAAGTGTTTTTCCCTATTCAAATATATAATACCATGTAAAAAGATGGAATTATTATGTATAAAAACTGTTAAAGAGTTACTAGTTTACAATTACCAAAATAACAGCCTATATAATTGTCTCAGAATAATATAATTTTAATTTTTTGGTTTTAAGTTTAAGACAAAAAAATATCAAAATTATTTATACTGTTGTTGTTTTTACTTTATACGTATTTTTTAAAATTCATTTCACTACAATTACATGTTTTCTACTTTTGGCTGTCACTTTTAAAAGGATTTTATGAGATTGATACTATTAAATTAGATATTATGAAATTATAAACTTTCCATTAAAATCCATTTATTCACTATACCTTCTTTTTTTTTTAATATTTTGAGGCAGCATCCCCATTCTCAGACCATTGAGGTGACTGCTTCCTCACAAAAGGTTCTTCAAAATGTAGGTGATGCACCAACATACCAATTTAATATAGGTCTGCTTTGATCAATCAGTTATGAGTAGTAAAATTTATAATTTTGAGGAAAGTAAATTTATTTAATCCTTACATCTCCACTCCATACTTCAATTCATTTTGATTTTTTTAATGACATTTCAAATGAAAATGAATTGAAGCATGGAGTGGAGATGTGGGGGTAAAATAAAGTTATTTTCCTCAAAATTATAAACTTTATTAATTATAAATGCCCTTGAAAATTTGAAAGATTTTATAAAAAAAGTCATGAGTAGTTTTTAATATGAATCTGTAGGTAACTGTTGACCTTAATAGTATATTATTAAAGGACTTATCGTAAATGAATTGTATCTTTACTTAACATTTAATTAAATAGAAAAATATATTTTAAAAAAACTGCAATATTTTATGAAGGTATAATTAAGTTCATTATCATAAAAAAAGTATAAATACCCATTGCAATTTAATTTTTCAGTAAGAAAGGATACATAAAGCTCTAGTTTTAAGATATCCAAAACTTACCACAATGGAGAGGATGTCCCAACCAATTTCCATCTTGACAGATTATTCTCCAAGTAGTTTTTTCTCCCATAATGGAGGTTATACAGTTGAATGTGACTTCAGTACCATCAGGAAAACTACAAATTATTTTTTACATCAGAAATGAGTTGGTTTGCATGGAACACTGTCTTGTACAATAGTACAGACCTATTACTATTCCAACTAGCTAAAAAGAAGGATTTGATAGAATCAGTAGACTGAACTTTGAATAAGCTCTACAAAGGTTGCTAAGCACCAAAGGAAACAGAGAAGGGCAAACTAGATATTAATTTTGGCTTATGTTATACAGTAATTAAATATGTTTGTATCAAAATAATATTTTGGGAACATTCTTAACTAATTACAATATTTGCTTCGCAATAATTTTGACTTTTTTTTGTTCTCCCAATTTAAATTATTTCAAATATCACATTATTTATGAATTATCTATTTATAATTATTATTTCTAATTATATATAACATTAAATTTCAAGTATTTAAATTTATAATAGTATTTATACCATCATAAACAGCCTATGTATTCCTATAACGATTCCTGTCTGCCTTAATTAATTAACTTACTCATCAACCATTATCTATTATTAATCATTGATCTGTCTAGGAGTATGAAATTCCCTAAAGGAGAGAACCAATTATACAAAATGATCAAAACAGATAAAAATCTTATTGGGCAGACAAAGAAACAAAATATTTTTACTCAATAATTATTAATTAGTTATTAACCAGAATTTATGATTATAGGAGAGCTTAAACCAATGATTGTATTAATAAATCAGTAATTCATATAATTTTAAATTGTTAAATCATTAATAAAAGTTAACACAGACAAATTAATACTAATAACTTCAATGAATAATAATAATGAAATTTATTCATGAATAAATTCTGGCCATTATTTGTTAATTTTCTATAATAATTATAAATTTTAAGGAAGGAGATGGTCTGGGGTGGCGGTCATAAATAGACTAAATAGTGGCAAAGCTATTTTATTAAAAGCCAACATTTCAACCCCACTTTGCAGGTCTTCTTCAGGGCTAAAACGGACTAGATAAAAAAAGATATAGAGAATTGTGGAAGTAACATAATATTTAGATAAAAATTATAAACCATGTGAATAAACTTATTAAAATTATAAACAGTAAGTACATTGAAATATTAAGAACAGTAAGCTATATAAACAGAGTAAGCTAAGTAACAAGATCCTAAACTGAAGTAAATAGATGGTAACAATTGTTGTAGTATAATATATAATATAATATATGAAATTGTGAATATACTCCTACAGATCTACAGGAGAGATTGGAAAAAAGGGAAAAAGATATAATATGAAATAAGAGATAAAGGGATGTGAAGAAAGAAAAGAAAAAAGAAAGAACAATAACAAAAAATAAATAAACAATTAAATGAATAAAAGAATAAAAATAGAGACTTAAAGGTGTGTTCAGCAAGGAGTTTCACTTAGAATTAAAAAACCTGGGTAGGTACCCTTGGAAAAATTTGCTGGCTTGGTTTGGGAATAGTGATGGGGTAAGGAGTAAAAGTAAAACAAAACTAGGAATATTACAGTATCTAAAATTTGAAGATATGGATGGATATAAGGAAAAATACTATATCTTTGAACTGATAAACTATAAATATATACATATTCATGTAAAATAGAATTAAGAAATTATAGATAGAAGTACAATGTGAATAAAAACAAAAATGAAACAATTAAAATGTACTTAGAAGTATAATGTAAATATATAAATAAGAGACCATAAATTGCAGAACTAATTTAGAAGTATAGAGAAGAAACAAATACAAATAATTACAATTATACTTATTTGTACATATGTAAGAAAATTATATTTAAATATATGTAATATTGAGACATAATGGTTAAAAAGTACAATGAATACAAAGTAAAAACGAATGATCGTACAATGATGTAGAATGTAAATATAAAATTAAAAATAAAAGAGAGATCATACAAAGCAGAAATATTTAAAAATAATGAACAATTAAATTAAATTAATCAATAAAAATTGAAAATAGACGAACAATAATAAAGTGTAATAAATAAGTTATTTTTTCACTTATAAGATTTAAAATGTGCCTATGTGTTAAAGAAATGCAGTTTTTATCTACTTTATGATTAACAGGATTCTGTTCCATGTGAATATGGATGGATTCGGAAATGAGTCTTTTTTCATGGTTAGGGACCGTGGCAAGAATAGGGTTTTTTCAAAATCAAATGAATGGTTGAGGGTTAAGGCATGTTCTGATAGTTTGGAGGCGGAAGGGTTCCAGGAAGTAATGGATGTTTTAAGTTGAGAAATGAGGGTTTTTGGTTTCGCCAATATAGGAGCTATTACAATTAGGAGTAGAGCAAGGTATCCGGTAAACTACATTACAACAGTTTTGTAAAAGTATGGGATCCTTCAAGTTGGTGAAAACGAAAGAAAGTTTGTTATGGGACTTCAGGCCAAGACGTAAGTTGGTTATACTCGATTTAAGGAATTTTTGTATATTATGTGAAAGAATAGGAATATAGGAGAGAGATTTGTATATGAAAGCAGTGGTAGGTGATTGTGGGGAGTTGAGAGAAGGGAAAGTTGTACTCTTTTTGGTTGTATAACTGTTTAAAAGTTTAAGTATAGTGTTGAGAGGGAAATTATTGGAAAGGAGTATATTTTTGACATGCTGAGTGTTGGCTTAGTGATATTGTGGATCAGATAAAGAGAGAGAGAGATTGATGAATAAGGTTTTTGGCGGTATTGATTTTTTGATGGTGTGGGTATTAAGAATAAAAGTTAAGTAATTTGCCTGAGTATGTGGGTTTAGTATACCAGTCAGTAGAAATATAGTCATCAATGTTTTTTATTATTAGGAGGTCTTAGAAGGGGAGTGAATTGTTAACTTCTTTCTCTGTAGTGAAACAAAGATGAGGGTGGTAAGAGTTGAATGAGGAAAGAATTTGAGGAATGCTGTCACAGGGTTAAGAACAAGGAGGAGGTCATCGACATATTTTTTAATGAAAATGATGTCTCTTGATGGAAAGAAGGGATAATGGAGTCTACAAGGTCATTAAGGAAAATATTGGAAATATCCGGTGCTATAGAATTTCCCACGGCTAGGCCTGAAATCTGGTTAAAGAATTTTCCTTGGAAAGTGAGAGGTATCCGGATCTGCAACAAAACTCAAGGGATTCAAAGTATGAGGAGAAGTAGAGGGTGGTGTGAGGTTCGATGATTGTCCAGTGTTTCTGTAAAATATGGAGGGCTTTGTCTATTGGGATGTTAGTAAATAAGCTTTCGGCGTCTAGGGAAACAAGGATAAAGTTGTCAGGAATATGGAGAGAAGACAATTCTTATTTGAGATGAAATGAATTATTAATGTCATAAGGATTATTGTGGCTAAGTTTTTGGAGAGAGGGTAAAATGAATTTGCTGAGTTTAACTGAGGGGCGTTTATATTGGAGATGATAGAGCGGAGGGGATTACTAGGTTTGTGATTACCAGGTAAATTTATTATAAATTTTAAATTGAATATTTTTTGTAAATTCTAAACAATACTCTAAATATAATAAATCACAGTATTGTAATTTGTTGTTAATTGTTGAAGTTCTGATAATCTGAAAGTAGTGTATATTGTATCAATGAAGCATAAGAGAGATGTTGAAGTTATAGAATCCGGAGTAAAAGTGATGCTTTTGGACCTCTTGTATCTTCTATTATTAAATCTGATTGGTCTCACACTATCAAAATTATTGAAAAATCATACAAGATTTTAGATGTAGGCTTCATTTTTCTTTGGTTCCACCTTTTGCCAATAAGTACTTGATTGTATCTGTCTCTTAACTTGGCGCAAGTCTTCCTTTTATCAGTTGACTTTGTTTCCCATTGAGGCTGTTTCCTTTATTTCCTGTGTTGGTTCCACTTGATCATATATAACTTCTGCTGTTCTTTGTTTATAGTAAATAATATAATATATTGTAAAAATTCAATTTAATTTTTTTTAAATATATTTTTTAGAAATTACATTGAATTTTTATTACAATTTAGTTTATATTTATCAACTACATTTACTTTGTAATCAAACTTCTTTAAATATACCACAATAATAGCGCGCGCGCACACGCACACACACACACACGCACGCACGCACACACGCACGCGCAGACACACACACACACATATATATAAAGTTAAGTTATTTAGTAATATAGGAATCTAAAAATAAAATAAAAGGTAATGAAGTGGACACTGTGACTGCTTGAACAATACTAACTTTTGTTTTGAAAAACAATGCTAATTAAAACATATGGTTTTTATATTCTTTTATAAATCTGAATTAATTCAATTAATTCATTGATAAACTACTAATCAATGCACTTGATATTTCCTATCCTATCTCCTATCTCCTCCTCCCCCCCCCCTCTCTCTCTCTCTCTCTCTCTCTCTATATATATATATATATATATATATATATATATATATATATATATAGTGTGTGTGTGTGTGTATCCTATCCCCACATAAAGATCGTTTATTTGATTCCCCTTCATGCTCCATGCGTTAAAGGAATACTACATGCAAATACAATTGTTTACATGATTTTATTTTAATTTATTTATTTTTTTAGTTTTACAAGATATGAATTTTTAGTACAAAATTATAGATATTAACATATATGTGTGTATACAGGATGTCCCCTAAGTATAGAGAAATATTTAAAAGGTTGATAGTAGACATCAAGATAACAAAATTATCTTAACAACAAACAAACTTATATAAACAATTGCCTAATTTCCAGCAGAAAAGTAGGAAATTTAAGATCTTTGTTTTTTTAAGATAGTCACGTTTTTTGTTGAATAGGAAGTGATAACTTAAAACAATTTTATTTAAGTAATTAAACATTGCTCTATAGAAAAGGAGAGAAAATTTACTTTAAACGAAAGTAGAAAATACTCTTAATAACCTTGTTCAAGGGCAATTGTAAATAACCTTTCGGAAGGCAATTGCAAATAACCTGTTTGGCGGCAATTGTAAATAGCCTGTTGGGCGACAATTGTACATATCCTTCCAATTGTCACAATTGTCGGGGTCTATGTCATTTACACTCGAAAATTTAATTTTCTTAAAACGAAACCCCGGCACTGGATGTAAACTTTTTGAGAGTGTTTAGACTGTTGTTGGGAATTCGGGAACCTAATGCTTTTGTGACACTGAGTGACAAGAAATAATAATAAGAAATATATATATATATATATATATATATATATATATATATATATATATATATATATATATATATATATATATATATATATGAAATGTGGGACTAAGTAAATACACTTTAAATGAATTGATGCACCTGGTTTGTTATTCATAAATTGTGAGGCATATAGGACAACTAAATAAAATGACTATTCACTTTTGTATAACAAAATAATTTATTTCCACAACTGTAATCAATTGAATAAATTAATTGACCTTCTTAATCTTCAGTGTTGTGGGCTTCCTCCTTCCTTCTTCGGTCTCAAATATTTTCTTTGTTCTCTTCCGTCCTTCTTCAGCTGCTACCACCTACCGGCACTTTTTCAGGTTCCTTCCTTTCTTTGTTCTGTACCTCTTTCGTCGATTGCTTATCGATTGGATACTTTTCAATTAACAACTTGTCCACTGCACAATTGAGTACAATTCATTGTGCAACCCTACATTTATATACACTCCTTCTCATTCCCTCTCTCAATGTCACATTAAGAAGTAAATGCTAGAGGTCATCTACTACAACACGGTTACTTTTTGTGGCTGGATAGGAAATCACATCATTTCTTTACACAACTTGAGATGAATCTCAAAAGTTTTCCTAATAAACCTCAAATTATTTAATAGGGACTTAAAGCTTATTAAACAAGGTAGTTTTTCTAAAAGTTGGGTACATGTAGTACAGTTGAAGGGTAATAAAAAAAATCACAAATAATTTATGACTTTTTTTTAACAGAACTTTGCTGTGTTTGTCCGCCCAATAGTCCTCTTTAAATAATTTTAACAACGACAAACTCTCCATTTTTTAAAGAAAATTTCATCTAGTTTAATATGGAGCATTGTTTAGTCACTTAGATAAATTATTTTAAGCTATCGCTTCCTATTCAACAAAGAACGTGACTCGCTTAAAAAAAACAATCTTAAATTTCCTATTTTTCTGCTGGAAATTGGGCAATTGTTTATATGAACTTTTTTGTAGATCTTGATGCCTACTATCAATTTTTTATATATTTCCCTCTACTTTCGGAACACCCTGTATATCTGTATATATATTTGTGTGTGTATATATACATATACATATTTTATTTTTAACATGTATTGTTAATGTCAAAGTACTAACTTAGTTTCTGCATTAGCCAGTGGTTCACCATTTTTGTATGCAAGCGTCCCTCGAACCGATTGAGGAGGAGAACAGCTGCCCCTCAGACCACTTAGGTAGTCAACTTCTCCTATCTCTCCTGCCTTTGTAATATCACCTCCAGCCATAAACATTGAACCTGGATCTGTGGAAAACATTTTATCACTTGGAAATTTTATGGCACTGATTTAATTATTTTAAATAATATTTATACTTCAAAAATTAAACATACATTTGTCAGAAATATATTATATATATTTATATAGACATATATATACACATATGTGTGTGTGTCATATATAGTATATATGTTAATTATGTCAGAAATAAATACCAGCTTTATTACCTGGCTTACAGTGAGGTGATTTTGGTCGTAACTCTCCAAGTACACAAACAATGGTCTCACTTCCACTTGGTTTGAATTCAGTGTCACATTGAAAGCGTACAATTGAACCATTACCTATGGTTAAACCAGGTCGATAACCAAGAAGATATTGGCCATGAGATACAACAGGAAGCTGACATGGTGCTACAACATACAAAAAGAATAACCAACAATAGAACATTTTTGTTTCTCAATATATAAAAGCATGGGTATATCACAGGAGAAAGGAGTAGTCATCTGCTTCCCTACCAATGTATTAAAAACTAAAATAAAGTTCTGAAAAATTGATTGACTGCAACAGGTATTTCAACATTTTGAAAAAAATTCATTACGAAACATAGACACCCTTTACATGAAAGACATTAAATATAGAAAATTACTCCCCTTCCTTCTGTTTTTAGCCAAATACTACATTGTAAAAAAGTGATATTTGATATCGGAACCATATGATGTCCATTGTTGTTAATCCTAACTGTAACATTTCAACTAATAATTATATATTGAAGTGAGTTATTCAGTTACGAACCTGGTGTACAAGTAGGAAGTACTGGAACATTCCATTGCCCATGCCAACATCTCATTCGACCATTACCTTGAACATTATATCCCACTCTACAGGAAAATTCTATCACCTGAACAAACAATGAAGTACACTTCAAACAAAATTTGGATAACAGGAGTTATATTTCCAAGAAAGTATATTACATGATCATGTGGTACAGGAGCAGAAAGGTTCAAAATTTGTCCTGAGATAGCACTTGAACCACCAGCAGTATAAATACCATGTTTTGACTCTGGAATCTTGCATGGTGCTGAAAAATGACATTATATTTTTCCATTACTCTGTTTTATTTCCTTTTTTTCTATTCATTAATTTAGTACATCATTCTTAATATTTACCTAAAGAGCACTGAGGTTTTGCAGGTTTCCATTTCCCACGTGTACATCGGGCAGTACCATTTGGTAGATTACTAACAAATCCTGTAGAACATGTGAGCCGGAGCATTGTTCCTTGGGACCATGTATTATTTGGGTCTCGACCATTTTTGATGACATCAAGTTTTCCATTGGGTTCCTCACCGGGGTCCTCACAGGGGATACCATCTGTGAATATGTTTTTTATACTATAGAATTACTTACTTCCTTAAATAATTGCCTTTCAAAATAACTATATTAATGTTTCAGTTATGTATGAGATTGGTGCAGCACATGCATATAATCCAAAAATATGTGAATAACTACCACTGATCACTAAATGATACTCGTATATGTTATCAAAAAATAGCTTTTGAACACATTGAGCTAATAATTAATAATAAACATGTATTTGATTAATTATCATCACAAATAACAGAAATGTGTTGAGTCAACCTACTTATTATAAAATATTGTTTATCTCTCTACCTTGCTTTTTCTTCCGTCTTGATCCTGGTTTTTTTCCTTCCTCGGTCTTTTCAGTTTCTTCCTCATCAACATCATCAGTTCCTTTCGAACTTCCTCCTGACTTAGTTGGGCCTTTTCGTGAACCTCCAAGTGTTGAATCTTGCTTGTTAGATGATGGGTTTTGTGGTTTCTTAATGACCTTAGAGAAAAAAAAAAATTAACATTAAAGAAATCATTTAAAAATATTTTTATGTTTGTTATTAATAATAAGCCATTAAAGATATTTGAATCTTTTGATATTTTATTGAACTTACAGTTCCAGCAGATGCTGACAAAGCACGTTTTGCTCTTCTTAACATTAATAACACTAAAGCTCTTTTCTTTCGAGTCCAACGCAATCTGGGATGTAAGCCTGGCACACACCTAAACAAAAGTGCCACTTGATACTTCTATATAATAACTATCTGAAAATATATTGCATACTTTTTATTTTTTATTATACTCTAAAATTTCTTAAAATATCATTTTTAAAAATACTGTATACACTATTTTTAAGATATTTAAAAAAATGTATTTTTTGATAGAATCAGCTGTGGAGCAGACCAAAATGGAAATAAAATTTAAAATGAAGCTATTTTTCTAGTTAATGATTAAAAAACTTTTCTAAAATGGAATATACTAAGAGTATAAAGATACCTTGGCAGGTTTTTTGGAGACCAATGACCTGCAATGCAGGTAGCCCCAGGTGGGCCTTCAGCAAGTGTATATCCTTTGTTGCATTCATACATTATTTGCTTATTGTTAGTAACCTTCCGAACATAAGGTCTATAATCATAGAGACCCATGTTTCCAACCAACAGCACCTTTCCATTCTCAACGTAGCCAGGAAAAGGGCAATAAACTGCAACCAATAGTTTATAATTAGGCCATATATCAAATTAAAATACAACAGATGAATTTCATCATCCATACTTTAAAAGGAATTAGGAATGCCCTATATCTAAAATCAAATATTATACATACTGAACCATTTCAAAAATTAGACAGAGGATCTGGATGAGTGTATTTTAATAATAATAACAAGACAGGAAGAGAAATACTTGTAATTTACAGAGGAATGATATTCTTAAAAAATTGCAATTGATGTTTCTCTTAAATGTTTATGATTCATGATAAAAAATATAAATTTCACATAATGGCATTGTTTAATTATGTAAATTTTATGAAATTTATTGTGGTTTTATCAGAGAGTAGAAAAATGTTATGTATTTTTCCTAATTCATCTGTTTAAAATTTCTATTATCCCATTATTTGTAGCATCACAACACCCTATGATGTTCCTTAATATATATCTATGATTTAGAAACATAAAAAATGTATTTTAAAAAAACTTTCACCCTGTAAACTTCAGTCTCAAATGTATTTGTTCTAAAATATATGAAACATTATATAGTTCATCATCTCGAGACGTTGAAAGATTAAATGATACCTAGCAGTTTTGGCACAGCAGTTTTTAATTACTTAACAAGAACTTAGATTGACACACAACTTATTATGAGAGAAAATAGAAGAGGCAAAGGCATTGAACATTAGTTGGTCTTGACTGCTCGAATTGTCCCTACTCATCCTCCCTAGTTGCCCCCTTAAATTAGGAGTTTTACTAATTATAGTGCACAGAACAAATTTCGGACTTGTTCACACGTTTAAATTTTTTCATTTGATAGCATTGATGCTTTTTTGTGAAACAGAAAAAAAAAAAAAATTGCCCACCATTCCATCCCTGAACTTCTCAACCCCAGCCAGCCACTTAGGTTGTCTATATGAACGGTTCTGTTCATAGACTTTACGTTTTTGCCTAAAATTTGATACTAGGGAGATTTTAACCTTATTAATTGTGTGTGTGTGTGTGTGTGAGCGTGAGTAAACATCTAATTGGTGAAACATGAAAAATAAATTTTTTCCACACTTTCTTGTTCTGTTTGATGTACATAGATGAAGAGATAGAATAGAGAATAATTATTTTCTTAAATGTCATGAAGTATTTTTTTATGACTTCACTTCCCCTGTTATTAGTTCTCCAATAAAAGTAAGTCAATTTTAATCAAACACTAAGTGAAGTTTATTAGGAGTTTGAGTGAACATATTTTGAATTACCTCTGTTTCAAAAGCTGAGAAAAATGTCTAAATCCTTACTCCCTAGAAAATCATTAAGTCTAGGGAGTAAATTTACAGTTGCAATTTCACGGCCAACTGATCCTGTATAAATGTTTTGTTACTTAGTAACACCAGTAAGTTCATCATTCCAAATGAAATCAAATGTAACAAAACTAAACAGTACAATTATTTATCCACAATATATAAAATTAGATTATTAATATCTGGTTAACACCATATTATAATAATCAATAAGTGGCTATTATAATGATTATAATAAATTCGAAATGACGTATGTTGATGATAATGTGTGCTCACATTAGTAACTTCCTAAAACAACTATAAAGATTGTTAAGAAGTCGAAAAACACTATTTTTCTCATTTTTTTTTTTTTATAGAAAAAATTATATAAGCTGTGACCCTCCAACCACACGACCACCCAAAACACAAGAAGCTATCATGGAGCTGACATTTTTACAAGGTTATAGATTTTTGGGAAGGAACAATATTTGTGGTGTTAGAATTTGGAAGAATTTTCAAATCAGAGAACAAAGGAAAACATGGGAAAAAACAATTCAAGAGTAATTCCATATGAACTGCAATTTCTGTAATTCTACTTTCACTTGCAATGTTTTAAGAAGAGGAGAGCAATAAAATTTCTAGGGAAGTTGGCTTGCACCATTGATCCCTGAGAGAGGGATTGTTCAGGAGAAATATAGTTTAAATGTAAAATATTATAGTAATATTGTAATACTTTTATTTCTCTAATATGATAAACAATCAATAATGATTGCTGCATTCTGCATTCTGCATTCTGGATTGTTGTGCAGTTTGCTGTTGTGTGCCCAGTGAGTATTTATTGTTGGTCCAATGTTGAGAATTGGTTTTCACTGACTGTTGGCCAATGGTTAGAATAGGCCGCAGGAACAATGGTTAAACAACAGCCATTCACCAATGATGGTAATTTTATATTTCCTAACAAGCTTTTAACATTGTTATATTATGCAAAACAAATAATTTATTATTTATTCTTCATGTCTCTTTAGTAATAATAATATTTTATAAAACCTACATCAAAATTCAACAAAATTACTAGGTTTTCAATTCAACTATTGAATTAAAACAGTGGAAAATGTATATTTTGCCGATTGAAAATATTTAATATGGAACCTGTGCACTAGGGAGCGCGTCCCCGGGTGGCGGATAGGGGATCCCTCTTAGGAGAGTCGGTCTGAATATACAGAATAAAGACCCATGGACCAACAGGTACCTAGTGCTGGGGGGTATAGCCCGGCCACCCTTTCTCCTGAGGGAACACAAATATTCAGGAGACCAGTTGTCCCGAGAATAGGGGCCTCCATCACTGGGCTAATAACCCGCATGGTAGTAAAGTCTATTCAAAATCACAAAACCAGCCTCGGATGTGGACAGATTTCACGGAAACGACCTGGCGCTCATGGGGATTTACGATTTGGAAATTGGAATATAAAGACATTGACAGGAAAAGAGGTTGAGCTTGTGGAAGAGATGAAGACATATAAGGAGGACATACTTGGCAACAGCGAGGTAAAGAAGAAAGGAGTCGGTGAAATAAAACTAGACAGTGATTACACCCTTATATATGCTGGAGTTCCTCAAGGAAACTTCGCGAAGGAAGGGGTAGGTATAATTATGACTCCAATAGTGTATAAACAAATGGAAGACTGGGAGATCTCACCAAGAATAATTGCTGCAAAATTTGTGTTGGCCATTGGGAAAGTTACTTTAGTGCAGGTATACGCACCAACGGAAGATACAGGAATCATGGATAAGGAAGCGTTCTATTCCGACTTGCAAGGATTGCTCAACAAAATAAATTTGAAAGGACGATTCGCAATACTGAGTGGAGATTTCAATGCCAGAATAGGTTGTGATCCTTCTCCCACTTATGGTGCCCTCGGACTCCATGGAGGGGAAACTGTAAGAAATGGAAATGGACAACGCCTTATTGACTTCTGTATATACAATGATCTACTGGTGGGAAATTCCTTCTTTCCCCACAGAATAATACACAAAATAACTTTCTCGAGCCTGGAAAAAAATAGTATTATAGACTATTTCGTATATGACTGTGCCATAAGAAACTATTTTTCCGATATAAAAGTCATAAGAGGTGCTGAAATTAGCAGCGATCATCTGCTGCTAATAGCCGATACCAAAATCCACATAAACAGCCAATTAAACAAAAGAGCTACAAGGCAGTCAACATAAGAGCTCTAGACGATCCAGAAAAGAGAACCTCCTATACCGAAAAACTGGAAGGAAAATAAGGAACTATGAGCAGAGAGGGTGATGTAGAACAACAGTGAAACTGCTTAAAATCATGCATCTTGGAAACTGCAAGGGAAGTTTGCGGCTTGCGCAAAATATCTAATAAACAAAAGCGCACAGAGTGGTGGAATGAGGAAGTACGATGTTTAGTTCAATCAAAGAAGAAAGCGTGGAAAGCTTATCTTCAAGAGAAAACAACCGGAAAACTAGACGAATACCACTAAGCCAGAAATCAGTGCAAAATAGCAGTCCGGCAAGCAAAAAGAGAGTCATGAGAAAGATTTGGAAAAAGTCTCGATGAAGATCACTGGGAAAGTATTAAGAAGTTCTGGCATAAAGTAAAGCTATTAAGAGGAAAAATAAGTAAGCCAGTGAGAAATGTCGAAGACTCTAGTGGCAGCATGGTCACCGAAGAAACAAAAATTCTTGAACGGTGGAAGGAGTTCTTTCAGGGACATTTCTCAGGAGGAGGACAGACTGACCTATCTGACACAAGAAGAACATCTGGTAGAAAATAATACTCTGGAAAGTCTAGAAGTCATTGAGGAAGACGATATAGAATATGGCATCCAAAAAATTAAAATATGTAAAGCAGCGGGAAGGGATGGCATAGCCCCCGAATTAATAAAATTTGGAGGGCAGGAATTAATTAAATTTCTCCAACAATTCCTCCAAAAAGTATGGGATACAAAGATAGTCCCAAGGGATTGGGAGTTAAGTGTAATTGTCCCTATTCATAAAAAGGGCAGCTCCACAGATTGTGAAAACTATAGGCCAATAAGCTTACTTTCAGTGGCTTACAAATTATACTCCTCAATCTTAGAAAGAAAATTAAGGCTCGTAGTTGAGAACCAAATTGAGAACGAACAAGCAGGCTTTCGTCCGGGGAGGCAGACTCAAGATCACATTTTCGTGCTAAGAGGCATCGCAGAGAAAGCATGGGACAGAGACAAGAATATATATATGGCATTTCTGGACCTCAAAGCAGCATTTGACTCTGTTCCAAGACAAGAAATATGGGATGCTTTGGCGGCAAAAAATGTTCCAGGTGATCTTATCATGGCAATTAGATCAGCATATAAGGCAGCAAAAGGAATGGTAAGGATTAATGGTAGAGAGTCCAAGCCTTTTCCCATGGAGAGAGGAGTCAGGCAGGGAGACAGCCTAAGTCCCCTCTTGTTCATCATATTTATGGATGAAATCCATAAAATTTGTAAGCGTCGTACTGCTTGGACGGTCGTCGGAAAATGGAACCTGCGGAATATTATGGTCCAAAGCCTACTATATGCCGATGACATCGTTCTGATTGCGGACACGAAAGACAAGCTGCAGCAGGCCCTTGTAGAATGGCAGGAAGAACTCCTCCGCAAAGGTATGATTATCAATAGCTCCAAAAGCAAAGTCCTAGTCATATCAAGAGAGGAACAAGAAGACGTCCAGCTGATCTGTAACGGGCAGGTACTTGAAGTTGTGCAAGAATTCACCTATTTGGGTACAATTATCAGCAACAAGGGGAAGATTGACCCAGAAGTAGCGAATAGGATATCCAAAGCCAATCAGGTATATTACCCTATCAGCAACACTATAGTAGGGCACAGGGAAGTTGGCAAGGAAACAAAAAGGCACATATACAAGTCGGTATACCTCCCAACCCTCACGTATGGAAGCGAAAGCTGGATTATGCTGGACAAGCAGGTTAGCCGTGTGACAGCAGCCGAGATGAAGTTTCTGCGGAGAGCTGCTGGAAAGACCAGGAGAGACCGCCTCAGAAATGAACGCATAAGAGAGGACCTGGAGGTGGCGGAGCTAAGGACTTTACTGGAAAACCGACAGTTGAAGTGGTTTGGCCACGTTTGTCGGATGGAGGAGGAGAGAGATCCGCGGAAGATTCTGGAAGCTCGACCCACTGGGAGGAGGCCGAGGGGCCGCCCCAGAATTTCCTATCAGGAATATATGCAGCGGATTGGAGAGAAGAGAGGCAAAACCCTCCAGGAAATGAGGCGGCTTAGTAGAGACCGAGAGGCATGGCTGCATTTGATTGAGGCTCCTCGACGCTAGTAATTGCACGAAGAGGAAGATAAAGAAGAAGATAACAAGCTTTTACCATTGTTATATTATGCAAAACAAATAATTTATTATTTATTCTTCATGTCTCTTTAGTAATAATAATATTTTATAAAACCTACATCAAAATTCAACAAAATTACTAGGTTTTCAATTACAAATTCAACAAAATTACTAGGTTTTCAATTTAACTATTGAATTAAAACAGTGGAAAATGTATATTTTGCCGACTGAAAATATTTTCACAAACTCCATATTGGAACCATAAAACAGTTTATCAAGTTACAAAAAAAAAAATTTTAGTCGATGTTGTGAGTTTTCTCTTACTCACCCCACTGTGGGCCATGGAGATAAACTAAAAGCACCAGCAATAATTTTTCCAGGTATTAGTCAAATATTAAATTTGCCTCTAATTCAATTTGAAAAATAGTGCAAGTTTTTTAAATATCTTTAATGTTTAGGGTAAGCATTTCCTGTTGGCTAAAACACGTGAATAGAAACAAATAAAAATATAGAAAAAGTTTTTTAAAAAGCCCTCCAAATTAAATAATGAATCCGCTATTCATACGGAGAAAGTAGTTTAATAAACTTATAATTTTTGCAGATTTATAGTTGGAAAAACTGTTGCCCCAATGTTAGGGGATAGTAGTGCTACAACTATCACGTTTCCGTAGATTTTGAATTGGTCAAAAAACAGTTAGCCGAATATCGATATTTGATTGGCCGACATCCCAACAGTTCCCTAACATTGCCGACCGTTTCCTAGCATTGGTCCATCCACGGGTGGCCACTGGGCATATAGGTTTGATATTTGAGAACAATTTACCTATTTTTGTTTGACAATTCTATGAAAATCAATTTGAGGATTCTCTTTCCATATTTAATTCAATATAAATTCATTCCATATTAGATTTTCTGTGTTCTATATGTACTTAGCACTTACTGTTTAGACCTATTATTAAATTTCCATGAAAAAAGATTTTGGTCAAACAGAAATAATGCTCTAAACAAATGGCGTAATTTTTGGTGATTTAGATTCATAAATACACAATCACTGAACCCATTATACAATTTATTAATTGTTTTCATTAAAAAACAATCACCATTACTGCAATAAACTTATATTGTTGTCCGTTCTCCATTTATATCACACCGTGAAAATAAAACAAAACAAGGTATTTGGTCATGACTTTGAAATAAACAATCTTGACGATCGATTAATTAAAATAACCACCACCTTGGATCAAAACTAAAAAATACAAATCCGTACACATACATCATTTATCGAGACTTCAAGGAACATTTATGCTAAATTTGAGCAACGGATAAATACATGAAGACAGGAAAGTTGTCTAGCATTTACATGGATGATAGAATGATGATGTATGTGCTCTCGGAATGATGGTGTGTTTTTTTCAACCACAGTGCGGTGCTGTACTGACAACCATAATAAGTAGCTGAAGAGCCAGTGGTTCGAGAGGATAACAGCAAACTACAGGTTTTATTATTTGCATTGAAGATCTATCTAATTTGAATCATTTCTTTATTACTATGCAAAGAATGTAAATATGAATAAGTTGTACATATTTTCAATGTACCTGTACATATATAATATTCCGGATTATTCTTAGTATAGTAGGTCACCTCTCAACTTCATTGTTTACTATGGGCAAATGAAGTTCCCATAGAGACAAAGCATGTCAAGTTTCCTCAAAATCTCTTTGAGGGTTTTCTTGGGAGATGTACTTCTTCCTGAGTTTATCCAGGACTATTCTGCTGATTAAATCAAAAGTACTTGGAGAATTTTTTTTGTGACATTCTGTCATATTCCTATTTTTTGATCCCAAATGGTCTGAAGAATGGTTTCCACTGCTTGAAATTTTCTTATTCTTGGCGACATCATAGGCTAATTCTCTTCAGTTACGACAATGTTGGAAATTATTCCTTATGTATACTGCCCGTCCAATCTCTGTTCTGTTTTCCTTGGCTTTTCTCCTTCCTACCTACCTATAACCAGTGCTGGCCTTAGGATGGCAATTGCCCCGGAGTGCCGACCTGGAGGGGATGCTCGCTACTTGTTAGAAATTAAAAAAAAAAATACAAAACTTATTAAAATAATTAATTTTAGTCTATAAATAAAGCAACTGTATTAGAGAAATGTTGAATAAAATAAAATTCAAATATTACATAATATAAAACAGCTTAAGAAATAAATTAATTTTTTTTAAGGGGGAAAATGACGTCATTGCCCGGGGGCACCGATGGTCTAAGGCCGCCACTTCCTACAACTGTCATAGAGACTGCCTACAACTGAGGCAACTGTCATTGATGACAACATGCAGTATCGAGTTCATAATTTAAAATGACAGTATATTTAATTTAAATGGATATTAAATATTAAATCCATTTGTTGAATTTTTTCAAACTTACCGTTTGACCAGGCATTCAATTTTGTTAAAAATGGGATGGAACTTAACAATGACAACCTAATGAACTAAAACTTAGGAAAGATTATCATTTTACTTCATCCACTTTTATCTTGGGCATAGATGGGAGTTGGGGGAAGTATACTATACCACATCTGCTGATTAGAACCTCAACTTCAACGATTAGAACTCCATTGAACTGATTAGAACCTCAAATCAACTTGATAAGCACTGATATTCAGTAATAAGCCCCCGTTTTAATTTTATTTACCTTTTGAGCGATTGTAGGGAGTCAACACCTCTTCTGTCTAAATCTATAATAATTTCATAAATTACCAATTATCTCAAAATAACCTAATGGGGCAGTAGTTCTTGGCCAACCCCAATGCCTGGCAAAAAGTGTAAAAGACTCATTCAGCAAATTAAACATCATTAAAAATAATTATGATGGGTGTGAATCTATTAACAAAGATTATAAATATATATATATATATTAGAATAAGGCAATTAAAACAAAATTTTTTTGAAAGAAGTATCACTTTAAAAAATTACCTTCTTGGCAATAGGGCTGTTCTCCAGTCCAATTGCCGTACCTACATTCAGAGGTGTTCTGTCCTTTGATGACATAGCCATCTCTGCATTTGAAGCGAGCCTTCATACCGTGTTGGGTTTTAGGCGCTATTACCATACCATTTTTGGGAGCCTTAGGCAAGTACTTGCATCTAGCTATTGGGATAAATCCATATGGAAATATGAGAAGGTTAGTTTCATGTTTGTCATTAACCTAACAAACGGAGATGATATCAGAGTTATTAACTATTATTTGCTTTAATGAAAATGTTATTTCAATTATATTTATTTAACCAGCTGTTATGATACACTTACCTGGCTGACACCTTGGGATTTGGGACCAGGATCCATTGTTGCATACAATTGGGCTTTCTGCAGCAGGCTCATAACGCTGCTCACATTGGACACTTAGCTGATGACCATGAGGTACAACCAAAGGGTCCATGGACCCGTTGGCCTCCAAAAGAATTCGCCCCTGGGCCACAGCCGGTACCACACAGGAAGCTAACAACAGTAACTAGTTTAATAGATACATAATAAATTCACTGGCCACAGAAAGGCGGAGAATATTATTTATTTTTTTTATCATATGACATATTTATACAGACTAGTTTGTAGATATAAAGATGTTGAAGCTAATCAAACATACACTAATCGTAATGTTATATTCAAAATAAATAAATAAAATAGTATTTATATGAAAATATTTTCGATCATAGCCACATTATATTATGGAAAATGATACACTGATACTATACATAGGACTTATAGAATATGAAATATAGGAATTAGAGAACATTGTGAAAATATTGGAAAAATCATTACCATGCCTAAATATACTTGTAGGGCATTATTGAATAACTTTCTGATATTCAAGTTAGTGATTTATTTTTATTTTTTTTGGATATATATATATATTCTTTATTTTTTTAATGTAATTCATTTATTTGTATTGATGGAGCATTTTATTAATAATTTAAATTGGAGATGAAAATTTACTCTGACAAGGAAGTGCCTAATGAGTATCAATAAGGTGATACTGATGAAAAAAATACTGGTTCCAGTAAAGACTTGGTATCAGATTAAAATGAAATATATGAACATATATTAAAAAACAAAAAATAATTGTATGAATATGACCACAAAAACATAAAGACTGTACTATATAATAATAAAAAAATCAGGCTTACTCCAGCTACTGGGTGGGTCCGCAGGTGGCGGATAGCGGAACAGCCTGTAGATATACAGGTTAGCTGCAGGGGCTATAAGGGCATTCCCAAATAAGCAGTCCCGGACAAGGAATGGCAACATCAGCGGGGGTGGACATATGACCTGTGAAAGTTAATAAATACCACAAAACCTGTTGATGATGATGTGACAGGGCGAGTAAGTACGGCCAGTAAATATGCGCTGCCCAGTACTGCCTTGTACGGTTTGGGAGGGGATCCTAAAGGCTAGGAGAGAAAACTCAAAAGAAATCAAGGGTAGCATGGACTCTGTAAGCTGTAGTGAAAGCCAACATGCTAGGGGATGGAACACCGAATTCAAAACCTGTGCCTTCCAGGTTGGGCATGGGTTAACGCCCCCAACTTATAAAAAAAATAGATGTTCAGAAAACCATAGACAACAACAAGCCGGATTGGATTAAAGGAAAACGGACCTAGAACAGGAATTTGGATTTGACTATTGCAACGTGGAATGTGAGGACGATGTTACAGCTCGGTAAAATGGCGGAAGTAGTTGAACAGATAATTAAGTTTAACATAGACACAGTAGCCTTACAGGAGACAAGATGGAATGGATCAGACAGGGTGGACAAGAAGGATTTCTCAATGTTTTACAGTGGACCTAGCAAGAGAAGTGGAAAAAATGGTACTGGATTCTTAATCACAAAGAAAATAAGAAAGAGTTTACTAGTATTTGAACCGATCAGTGAGAGAATTTGTAAACTTAGATTGGAAGGTAGATTTAAGAATGTGGCATTGATTTCAGTATATGCACCAACCGAGGAAACAGATAAAGATGTAAAATTGGGATTTTATCGAGAATTGGAAAGATTATATCAACCATCATGCATCTCCAAAATATGATGGTAAAATTATTTTAGGAGAACTAAATGCACAAATAGGAACCGAGAGCTTTACACAGACCGTTGCAGGAAAATTCTCAATCCATACTGAGACAAATGAAAACAGAAACCATCTCTGCCAATTTGCTGAAGCGAGTGATATGTTAATTAAAAGTACATTTTTTCGACAAAAAAATATACACAAAGGAACATGGAAAGCCCCCAATGGTGCAGTAACTCAGATAGATCACATATTGATAGATAGAAGACATGCATCATAAATTATTGATGTAAAGACTACCCGTGGACGTAATTGTCACACAGACCACTTCTTAGTCAAAGTAAAGTTTAGAGAGAGATTAGCATACGTGAAGTCTGGGAGTCGGCATTATAGAAAGAAATGGGATTTGGAAAAATTTAAACTTGAAGATATCACAGAGCAATTTAAAGAATCTGTAAGTGAAAAGCTAACAGAAAATTTGAAAGGAATTGAAATTGGTGAAGTCGAAGAGAGATGACATAAAATTAGAAAAGTTATTGAGGAATCTGCAGATAAAGTGCTTGGAGAGAGAAGAGAGCGGAGAAGTGAGGAATGGTTTGATGAGGAGTGTGCAGCAGCCCTAAATGTTAGGAATCAGCATAGATTAGGTGTACTCCAATGCTCCACCAGACAAAGCTATATTGCCTATAATGAAAGCAGAAGAAAGGCCAAAAAGATTATTAGAAAGAAAAAAGGGAATCCTTAGCAAAGAAGATTGAACAAATAGAAGAACTGAGGGAGAATAATGAAATGAGGAAATTCTATGGGGCTGTCAGATATATGAATCGTGGATTCTAACCTAATGTGGATGCATGTAAAGATAAAAATGGAAAAATATTAGAAAAAACATGGTAACTGACAGATGGGTGAAACATTTCAATGATTTTCTGAATGTAAGAAGCACCTCTGACGAGACACCAGAGCTAGAAAGTTTTCTTTCTAACTAACTAGAAAGTTCTAATTTAGAACAGCTCTCAATTGAGGAAGTGGTAGAATCAATTAACAAATAAAAAAATGACCAAGCTCCTGGAGAAGACCTTCTAATTGCGGAATTCTTTAAAAAAGATGAAGAGGAGGTAAATAATCAATTATACTTGCTAATTGAGGATATACGGGAAAAAGAATGCATGCCTGCAGAGTGGAAAACAAGTTTAATCTACCCTATACATAAAAAGGGAGACAGGCTGCTCTGCGAAAATTATAGAGGAATATCGTTCTTAGGAGTAGCGTACAAAATATTCTCCAACATATTGATTAAATGAGTTTGTCGAGAATGTTCTACAGGAATACCAATGCGGATTACGCAATGGCAGGGGAACTATGGATCAGATCTTTGTAATGAGACAGTTAATAGAAAAGTGATGGGAATATAAAACTGACCTTCACATGCTGTTTATAGACTACTGCCGTGCTTTCGATAGTGTGAACAGAAATAACATGATACATGTTCTAGGAGATTCCAACATTCCAAATAAGCTAATTCACTTGATACAAATATCTATGGATGACAGTAATACTAAAGTGTGTATTAATGGTACACTTAGTCACGGTTTTGCAGTCACTGCTGGAGTTAGGCAAGAAGATGCACTATCTGCTACACTGCTAACCTTACACTACATAGTGTGATCTTGAAGCTAAATTCCAATGGGGATATACTGCGTTCATCCACTCAAATATGTGCATAGACTGATGATATTTGCCTAGTGGCAAGGAATAAGCAATCTCTTATTGATTTGTTCAAGCTGTTGAAGGCGGAAGGTGAAGTGCTTGGTTTACAAGTCAATGAAAGCAAAACCAAGTACATGTTTGTAAGTTAAGGCAGTGATTCAAGAGCTAGAGAAATCTATGCATTGAAGGTTTTTCTTTTGAAAATGTTAAATTCTTCTCCTATCTTGGTGTAGAGCTTAATTGCACAAATGAAATATCAGCAGAAGTAAATAGACGGATTATGGCAAGTAACAGGGTTTATTATGCAAACATAAAACTCTTATCGCTGTTGTCACAAACAACAAAAATGAGATTGTATAAAACATTGGTAAGACCAGTAGTGACATATTCTGCGGAAACTTGGACCCTTTGCACCCAACAATAAATGCGTAGAGAGGTTTTCAAGAAGAAAATTCTCTGTAAAATTTATGGACTTGTATTGAAAGAGGGTGAATGGAGAATCCGGAAGAACAGCGAACTATATGAGCTACATGGATCTTGTGACATTGTCCGCTTCATACGAGCAAGGAGAATTGAATGGTTGGGTCACGTATCATGGATGAATGAAGTGAGAATGCAAAAAAGAATTATGCTTGGAAGGATGTATGGCACCAGAAGGAGAGGACAACCTCAGAGACGTTGGATTCAGGATGTGGAAAGGGACCTGGAAAATCTTGGTATAAGGAACTGGAGTAGGAGAGCGTTGTGCAGAGAAGACTGGTGGAATGTTTTCCGGGAAGCCAAGGCCCACCCCGAGCTGTAGAGCTATGTAGTAAGTAAGTAAGTAAGTATAAATATTCTTTATTTCTTGAATGTGATTCATTCATTTGTATTCATAGAGCATTTTATTAATAATTTAAATTAGATGAAAATTTACTTTGGCAAGGAAGTGCCTAATGAGTATCAATAAGGTGATACTGATGAAAAAGATACTGATTCCAGTAGAGTTTGGGATCAGACTCAGATTACAACGAAATATATACACATATATTAAAAAACAAAAAATAATTGTATGAACATGAACACGAAAACATAAAGATTGTACTATATAATAATAAAAAGATTTTTAAAAAATTCATATCTAGGACAAAATAAGTATAATAAATAAACAAATTACAATATACAAATTAAAATGCAAAATTAGGAAGATTTAGATATTGTAGAAGCATTAAGAAAGAATAAATAGCTATGAACTAGAATAAATAACAAATAGAAAATCTTAATAAATAAACATTCTAGCGCTTTAGCCCAACATAATATAATATTAAGCTATTAATTTGATTTCAATTACCGGGAAATACTAGACAATAAAAATATTTTTTAAAAAGGATATTTGAAGCAATTCATATTACCGATATCATAAACAAGCGATAAACTGGAATATTCATCATAAAGAAGCAGTAAGCGGCCTCTTTGGATCTTGGATCATAAAAAGTAACAAAAGAGGCCTTGAAATATCCTTTAAATATCAATTATTATCTTTATCTTGAACCTTGAAATATCAAAACTTAAAGATTCTGTAAATAACCGAAAATATTAAAAAAACCACCATAAAATATTCGAAATAATCTAAAAATAAACCATTAAATTTTGACCTAAAGTTGCTCTCTTTGACTGTCCCAGGTTTCTTGGAACTTTTTTTGGTACTGAGGACCTCCAAAATTTATACCGCTTAGCCCCACCACTTAT